GTTGTTGCTCCTAGTTTCGTCTGCATTCTGGTTCACATCTGGCTACGGCCTACTACACTCACTCTGTGTGCTCCTGCCTCTGTTGTCTGGGTCCATGTCCTTATGTCAGTGTATGTGGAGCGAGAACATCGGTTCTGGATTATAATATTAATGTTACACTACTACTATGATACACATACATATCGAACAGGAAACTTACATGTAGTTGCGTGATGTATGCAGCCTTCATTTTATTTACAGCTCTATTAAAGTTATTAACTCCTCGAGGGTTGTTAAAACCGAAAATGAATAGAAAATATGAAGTTCAAATCAGGTTCCAGATCCGTGACTGTCTCACGTCGCCTTGTCTGCTTTCGTACATGTCTAGTCTTACCCTTACAATTGGTAGAGGTTTGGTTTTCTGTAGAAAAAGAGGTCAAACCGACATGTATGCATAGCCGTAACTTGACCAGCGCTTCATCTGTTTGCCACAAATATGGCGCTTGCTTGAAACTTCGGCTTTTGGAGGAATTTTGCACACCTTAGTTGATCTCACCAGTACAGACTGTTTATTGCCGAAATCCATAGTCTATGGCCAGTGAAAAGCACTAATTATTCCAGAGAATAATGTCTTAGAACTCAGCACATCTGAATTCTCCACCGAGCAATAAAACGCGTTACATGTATACATTGTTTGTTTGTTTGAAGTTTTATTTTACATCGCAAACCAAACGGGCATTGATGCCCAATATTATGATAGCGATAGAATAAAAAGTGTGGCTCGATAAAGCTGCACTTGAGAAAATGAGAAAATAGTCAATAGGAAGTATTTGTACCGGTAATTACAAGTCAAGTTCGAACGAAGTAGCAATCAGAGAGAAATAGCAAGATGAGGTCCTATGCCAGAGGGAGGTGCTATTTGGCCATATTAACCGTAGAAAAACACTTTCAGCAATTCTTTAAACGAGGTTGGACTACGAGTGGACGTGAGTTCCTGTGGCAGGGTATTCCAAAGCTTCACGGCAGAAACCAATGGTCGGCTGTCGCCTGATGTTCGCCGAGTTAGTGGAACAACGTATTTGCAATTGGCAATGCCACGGGTGTTACTGGGCGGTTGGAGGGCTACTCTATCTTTCAGAAGAGGGCTGATGCTGCTGGTGTGGACTAAGTGCATAAGCAAACGCAGTTTGCATTTGGCACGTTCAATTGCAGTGGTCAGTGCAAGGCGAGTGTATATGAGTGGTATGGGACGGGAAGGGCAGATTGGCTACGCAGCGAACACATCGCTTGTCGAGGACAGTGAGCTGGTGCCGCTGCTGAGCCTTAAGTGCTGAGAAGAACGCGTTTGATCCATAAAGCATATCAGGAAGTAAAAGGACAGAATAGAAGAGGAGTGACTGGTGTTCAGATAGCGACGGGCGGATGGTTCTCAGGGTGGTTAGCTTCTGCGAAGTTTCACGTACTATGCTGGAGACCTGCGCGTCCCACCGAAGACAGGAATCGAACTGTACTAGTCTGTAGGCCCATAAAGCGAACAGTGGTGTTCTAGGTGAGAGGCGTCCCGTTGCAGTTAACGTTGACTTCCAGGGTACCACGGCATGAACCCTCCAATGGCTAAGACCTGCGTCTTGTCAGGGTATAAAACCAGGCCTTTCCCGTGTAGGTAGTCAGCAAAGTTTGACACAGCAACTGATTAGACTTGATTTAGGGTTGCTACGGATCCGCTTGCGGTGTCGAGAAGGATGTCATCCGCAAACAGCTGGGAGTGTGCTGGGCTGGTGACGCTATGGACGTCCATGGTATATAGTGAAAACAGCAAAGGCAGTATGTAGCTGGTGGTCTGCTGATGACAGACAGCGGTCCATGGCCAAGGTCAAGGTATCTTCCATGGAGTGTTGTGGCCGGTACGCAAACTGATTGGCGGGCAAAAGTGAATGGGTTTGTAAGAAGTCACACAGGCGTTTGTGGACTATCTTCTCCAAGATCTTCGATGCTATTGGCAGCAAAGATATGGGACGGTAATTGCGAGATGCGTTCTTGTCACTAGACTTAAATAGGGGTCGAACATTTGCAATCTTCGGGGAGAAGGGTACCATGCCAGACGAAAGGGATGCATTAATTAATATGGATAGCGACGGGGCGAGAGCTGCTGGACAATGCTTCAGGATGAATGCCGGAATACTGTCGCCGCCCTCAGCTTTACGAGCATCGAGTATCACGAGGAAGGTGAATATCGCCTCAACACTAGTGGGCTGGAATTCCCGCAAAGGATCCTCAACTGATGTAAAGTTCAATTCAAGGTGACAAAACAAATTGAAACCAAGTAGTTCGGCAATTTCTGTCAATGAAATGCCACCAAAGGCAAGTGGCACAAAAGTTGAAGCATTTTCCTCTAGATTGCTTTGCAAAATGACAGTGACAGTGAAATGACTAGCTTTTTGTATAGCCTACTCTACAAGTAGGTATTGAATCTAATAACACGTCAGAAGCTGGGTGTTTGTGCCATAGGCACCGGCGGATAATGTCGGCATAATTATTGGCATAATTTGGTGGTTGAAAATTTGGAGCAAAATGTTGCATCCTCTCGGAGGTAGGAGCATAACTACACGATTTTACCACGGTTCTAGTATGTAGGCTATACAATTGTGTACAATGCGCCTGATCAGTGCTGGTGGTCTGCATGGCAAAGCGTTTGGAGGTCATGCAGATAGTATTTTGAATGAAAAGCAGGGTAGAAATCATGGCAATACAATATTGTATGCTCGAACTCGTCTTCGGCAAAGTTCTTTCTCACACTGGCACAGTACATGTAGGAGAAGATGCGAGTGAATCAGCCTTCATCAGGTATCCCGGGGCGGAAGGGATAGTGACGGGTAGTCCGCAAAACTACGTGAACATTTACCGGTACTCGTACATTACATTTGTACATTATGCATGTTACGAAGTCATGAACAGTCTGGATTTTAGCAGCTATGATATGACGGCATGCTACGGATATTGCTCTTGTTCGGTCATGATGGAAGGAGAAGTGGAGCTACGGGCGAGATAAGCTGATTATTCGCAGGGTGAGGCCCAGGGTGACATCGGTTGGACGAGTATGATGATTACGAAGACAGTTGAACATGATAATTTTCAAAGGTAACTCAAACTAATTTGGCAATGAAATAATATTTTTACTGAAGTACAAAAGAAATCAAGTAATGAATAGAGGAAGTATTGTTTTCTCTTTTCCTTGTTGACCGCTTAGGCTCTTACATGTATGGATACCTTGGTATGGGGATACTCATGTACATGTTATTTGTTGTACTTATGGCCACTTGCAACTTGCAAGTACGAAAAAAGGCACAATTTCCTGAACTTTGAGGCTCCTTAAGTACAACAAAGTGAATGCACATGTATATCCCCGGGTGCTAAAGCATAATATGAGGATTTTACGTCCATAAAGCGAGAATCCATGAAAGCAAAATTCCTTGATTTCGCGAGAATAATCCGCCGGAGCCTATTGTGCACAGGTGTAGTTCTAGTAGTAGCAGAAGTGGGTTGCCCATATACATCAATAAACAAAGGGGTGTTGACGTCAGATCAAGGGGGCCTAGTAGAACGCACAATGTCCTTCTGCGAACCCATCGAAATCCGAGATTGATTTTACGCAATATTTCGCGTTTGGAAACATTTGTCCGCGGGTACCGGGCGCGGGCTGAGAAAAAGTCGTCTTCAAAAGGTTCTTTTGCGAGAATCCGCGATATGCGCATTGAAACAAAATGGCGTCACGATTTATTGAAAGTGGTATAGTTGGTACGAGGGTTCAAAACCATTAATTTTGAACTCCAAAGTGTTCGTCTTCTTTTACATGCTCACAACAGCTCGCAACAAACAAAAGCTAAGGACGATGGAAAGAGAGCATGCCAAAAAGAAGATGAAGGCTATACATGTAGTTCAAATGGGTTTGAACACCCGTACTGTACAACCAACTATGCCACTTTCAATAAATCGTGACGCCATTGGGTTTTAACACGCATGTGGCAGATTCTCGCAAAATAAACTTTTGAAGACGTCTTTTTTTCTCGCAAAAAAACCTTCTCCAGGTCACGCACGACCGGCCCGCGGCCCGCGCCCGGTACACGCGGGATTTAATGTTTTTCAATCGTGAAATTTTGCCCGAAATACCCAGATTTCGATGAGGGCGCAGAAGTACAATCATGTACTTACATGACTGTAGTCGTTGTTGATTTGACAGCATGCATGAAATTTGAGGCCACATGCCACGTAGACTCTACTGCTCGAGTCCCGGTGGTGTGACTGAGGATTTTTTCTTTCTTTCATATCTGGCTTGCAAGTGTTGAGTTTCGGAGAGAAAAGAGCAGTACGTGGCATGTGGCCTCAAATTTCTTAACACTTTGAAAATTCTCCGTGAGGTCCAAATTTGAAATTGCAATTAGCATGCATGAAACAAGTTCTAAGGCGGAGAACACCGTCTTCGGAAACAGTGACCTTACAACAACCATCTAACACCATGACTGTACTAATAGGACTAAGCTCCCTTAATTAATCTGACGTGAATACCCCGTTGTTTATCGATGTGAATTAAGCTGTCGAAGTGCCTACGTCACGCTGCCTGAAAACTCGTAGTTACACGTGGTTACAATAGTATTATTACAAGGCCAAGTGGTGACAAACAAAAGTCGCGTTACCTGCGATTGGGGTGTTTCCCGTGGTAACAGCATCACTTTGACTGGGGCGCTCTGGTGCAAGATCGCGATTTAAAATTTTGTTATACTTCAAGAAGTTTCAACAACGGTAGAGCTGCAGGACCCGACAACATCCCGGGTGAGCTGTTGAAGTACTCAGCCGATGCCACTGCTCCCGTCATAAGCCGATGCATCAACAGCCTATTTCAGCAACACCGGGTAGAGCCATTCATCGGTCATGGCACACTAATACCTCTCCAGAAGCCCGGAAAGCCGGTGGGTGCTTTAACCAGTCTGCGACCGATCATCCTCCTGACAACTCTACGCAAAGTCATGTCGCTCGTAGTCCTCAAGCGCATCTCGCCAGCCGTAAACGATTTCCTATCACTGAACCAAAGTGGTTTTCGTGCAGGAAGGTCAACAGCTGATGTGGTCTGGTGCCATCGGTGGTTAGCAGCTACGACCCAGCGGTACCACTGGTCATTCAGCATACTGGGCATCGACATGTCACGTGCCTTTGACACGATCAGGCGAGGACAGTTGATGGACGTGGTTCAGCGATTCTTGGAAGAAGACGAGGTACGCTTGATCCGTTACCTGATCTCAGATACGAATTTGGCAGTCAGACTGGGCACGGAAACATCAAGCTCTTTCTCCACTAACATTGGTACCCCGCAAGGCGACTCCTTGTCGCCAATTCTATTCGTGATCTACCTGGAAGCTGCCCTGCAGGATGTGCGACAGCGAATGGCTGCACCTGTGGCCCGGCATCTTCCGTACGATGTGGAGTACGCCGATGATGTGGACTTCATCAGTATCTCTAGTGATTGGCTTCGGATGTTAGAGCCACAAGTTGCCACCATCTTGGGTACATGGTCCCTTACCGTCAACCAGACCAAGACAGAATTCACAGCCATCCAGCGAGAGGCCGATCGTGCTGATGAGCCATGGCGTATGGTCAAGAAACTCGGCTCTCTCCTTGGTGATGCAGAGGATGTCACCCGCAGAAAGCAGCTTGCGGCGATAGCGTTTAAGTCCCTCTGCCAGTTATGGAAGAGAAGAGACCAAGTGAGTCTGGAGGTGCGCGTCCGGCTGTATAACTGCTTCGTGTTACCTGTCTTGCTTTACAACTGCTCCACATGGGGCATCACTCGACAGACAATTGAAGCGCTGGAATCGTATCATCGGCGGCAACTTCGGCATATCTTGGGTATCAGGTGGCCCAACCGACTGTCGAACGATTTGGTTTACGAGCGCTGCAGTGCTGCTCCACTTGGCAACATTCTGGTGAATGCAAGATGGCGGTTGTTTGGCCACATCCTGCGATCAGATGAGCACACACCGGCAAGGGAGGCCATGAGTGGATTCTTTGGCTGCTCCGTGCCGGGATACCGTGGGCGGCCGCGGATCACGCTACCAGTCCTGCTGAATCAAGACGCGGAGCGAGTCGGCTGCCGTCTGAGGACTCCAGGGGACTTGCAGCTGATGGCTCAGCGAGCACTGGATCGCCGTGAATGGACATATCTGTGCAACGCAGTTACAGATGCGTACAAGGCAGAGTACTGGTGAAGGAAGTTGGCACTGCAATGGTTTGAGCTACATTCTTTGTTGTTGGTACTCTGATTATCCGTATTATCCGTATTCACATGGCCTTTGCCATTCATTCAGTATATTAATGTCATCAATAATGATATTCTTGTTTGTATTAGTTTATGTGACACCATTTTCTATTTTTCTTTGCCTGCCTGCCTGCTGGTGGCCTTTTTTCGCATGGTTCGGTGCAAGCGAATTTGGGCGAGCCCATTGACGCGGGAGCACAAATAATAATAATAATAATAATCAAGAAGTTTCGCCTTCGGTCTAAAGCCATCTTGCAGTGTTTTCTTGCTGAGTGTTTACCAGCACTTGAGAGATACGAGTTTTGATTTTCGCTTGCCGCTGGACAAGGAAACGAGCCCCGAGTTGGTTGGTCTCAGAACTAAAAGAAATCAGCAATCGTTGCGATGGAAATAACGGAGATTGTTTCTTGGCCGGCTACTACATGTACATGTAAATGTACATGTAAAGCCGAGCGACAGTACAGGCACAGCAGTGGCCAAGCAAAAAAATCAGCTACGCTTCTCCTTCTCTATAAAGCGAAAACTACAAGCTCGGCTACAAGTAGCAGTTTAATTTATTGTTTGAAATACAATTAATAATCTTGCTCGCGCGCTCCTCAGCGGTCAAAATGATGCTGTAGCTGTGTTCACTGCATGCTGCTGGCACTAGAAGTACACTAGAAACACGTCAAGCGCAGGTACTAGGTGACTCGACTTTCGTTTGTCATCACTTGGCACTTGGCGGGCCAAGTAACTACGCATTGTCAAGAAGCTGTGACGTCAAACTTCAAAGGCCTATGGGGAACCCACTTATAGTTATACTTGTTATACAGCACGCGGCTACCACGCGTTGGTACATCTTATACAAAGCACCTTACGTAGAAACGAGAGTAGCTGTAACGTCACTCTCTTTATTCTCGTGAGATATGTACTTGTTTTGCAGTTTGTTTGGTTTATTTGAATTCGCACAGTAACCGTGTACTTCAGCTATTCTCTCCTCCCTCTTCTGAATTATTATTTGACTCCCCGCTGGCCTCCTCTCCTCCCATCCCCTTACATTGTATTGGGCCTCCGCAGCTTAACCCCCCCCCCCCAACGACCACCACCCCACGCACACACAACATTGTCACATAGCACAACTCAACCATTCGCTACCCTGTTATTGAGCACTCCTGCTCGTTTGGTCTCGCGAATCCAAATAAAATCAATCACGTCAAACTTGAACGGCCTGTGGGGAACCCACTTATACTAGCAGCTATAGTTAATCCTCGTACTCACTCAAGTACTACTGTAGCGGACATGGAAATCCAGTCGATTGACCGGGGCCAGCGGCGCGGGCTCAGCGCATAGAGAACACTGCGTGCAGTGCACAAGTAACTCCGATGCTAGTCATGCACGCTGCATGCAGCGCGCTAGCGCGCTTGCATGCGTGTACCGCTTATCCAGGGCTGCATAGCCAGCGCTCTGGGACCGCTAGACGTGCGACCATATGTCCACGACAGTAGTAGTAGGGTATAAAAAGCTAGTCATTTCACTGTCACTGTCATTTTGCAAGACATTCTAGACGAAGACGCTTCGAGTTTTGTGTCTCGTGGCTCTGGTGGCATGTCATTGAGGTTGCCTGACCTGGTTCAATTTTTGTTTCGTCCATCTGAATCAAACGTTATCAAAATCCTCAGTGGTAGTATTCAGACGTTTTCGGGTTCTGCGGTTCTTCTCTAGAACTGTGAGCGATCTTATTGGTGGGCTCAACTGAACCGTGCACAACTCCTCTCTCAGCTGAAGTTTCAAACATGGCGGGAAAAAAGCCTCGTGTTTCTGGCAAACAGATGGAGCAGTGGTCAAGGTACGTTTATGCATAAGTATGATCACTTGTTCTACAGAAAACCAAATCTCTGCTACAGTCATGTAGTTATAGGAGTCAGGCTTTGTATGAAAGGCAGCTTTCAAGGTGAAGTTAGATTGGCAATGATCTTACCTGATTTGAATTGCCTAATTTCCTATTTTCTATCCATTTACTATTCATCCAATCTATTTTACAAGTAATTTTACATCCCAAATCAAATAGGCAAGTATGCACATAGCCAGCAATCGCGGGTTATCACCTAGACATAATAATAATCTGCATAACGGTAAATGTAACTTAGTTTAGAATGGAACTTTTGCTCAGCGTCACCCTTTTAACCAGGCCGTAACGGGGTCGGCCAAAGGAATCCTAGAGAAAGAGACTCCTCCTCTCCACTGCTCAACCAGGATGCCGACATAGGTCCGAAAATAGACAACTAAAGGGTACGCAAGAAAACTTTACGGCCAAGGCTGCGCAGACTTTGGCCTACTAGTGTCGTATCCGGACGGCCCGGGGTTTGTCCCCAAGGCTGCGGTCGTCGACATGAACTAACTTACTAATAAACCTTCCCATCACAAGGCCGTGCAGTGGTGGCCACTTGGAGAGAGTCCACCAACAGAATTACTCTTACGCACGCACGCACACATACCTAGACATATTCTCACACGCACACTCAGGCATATACAGACACGTACACTCACACCAGCGTTCAGCTCAGGTTGACTCACATCTTGAAAGGAGCTAACTGATACTTAGTTCAAGAGCCGATCTTGAGAGCACAAGGCAAGAGAGACGGAAGCCGAAGCTTCCGCCTGAAGGCGGAAAGCAAGAGAGAGAGAGAAAAGCAAGGAGAAGGCAATATGATCTAGTTGCGGCCATGGAAGTCCATGGCCACGAGATTGCTGGTCCCGCATGCAATAGCGTATCACCGTAATCAATATGCGTACGAACTGTTGCGGGAGCCATGTGGGGAAGTATAAAATAAAGAAGATTATGAACCCGTTTACGGGAGATAGATAAATAATAAAACAACTAAATAAGGCATACTTGTCCCGTAGAGGCCTAAAAGGCACGTGCCAATCGTATGGATACGACATATCCCCCCGCTTACACGGAAAAGAACACGTCCTCGTGTTATAAGTAACGTAATAAATTAAACTAAGATTATGGCTAACAATTTAACTAAACGAGTGCAGGTCACAATTTGAGTTCCGATCAAAAACTGTTCAAAGACTAGCTGTAATATTGGCCACAACCAATCCAGTCAATACCACTGAAATCCTTACTCATGCCAGACGGGACTCCCAAACAGCTGAGGTGGATGGCGGGAACGCGGGGTTTGCCTTTCCATCACGCAAACTGGCGGAGCACTGTCGAATACCCGAGCGGTGTCCTCCTCGTCTCGGGCGGCGGCATCAGTGGCATCAGGCTGGTAGGACGGAGTCAGGGTGGATGCCATGGGCTGCGGTGGGTCCGACTCATCTTGTTCGTGAACCTCCTGCAGCCGACTCGGTCGATGATGACAACCTTTCAGCCGGTTGACGTGCACTATCAGCCGACGTGCCGTGGGCTCGGACAGCTTGATGCGGTAGGTGACGGCGGAGAGCTTCTCCTCGACTAGGTACGGTCCGTGCCACAGTCTAGAAAACTTGGCGGTTGTACCCGTCGGAATGGCCGGCACCAGAAGCCACACTGCATCACCAGCTGCAAACACGGCCTTAGCGTTACGATCACGGATATGCGCTTGATAGCGGTGCACGTTGCCCAAGTGCTCCCGAATCTGCGCATGAGCGTCCTCCAGGCGTCAGGCGGAGAGCACTCACGAATTCCGGCTGGGACGCTACTGCGGATGCTGCTCCTGGCGGTAATCCAAATGCCAAGTCTTGAGGTAGGCATAGCTCCCGACCAAAGAGCAGATAGCTTGGACTGTAGCCGGTACTAGTCTGCGGCGTCGAGCGGTATCCCATCAAGAAGGCTGGCAACTTGATGTCCCAATCTCGATGATTCCGGCAGACATAGTGCGCCAGGCCACGCTCAAGCGTCTGGTTGAATCTCTCAACCAGACCGTCACTCTGTGGATGGTACGCAGTTGTCCTGGTCTTATCTATGCCAAGCAGAAAGCAAACACTGCGAAACAGAGAGCCATCAAAGTTTTTGCCCTGATCGGTATGCAACCGATCAGGAGCACCAAAACGTGACACAAACTCATTAACAAACACCAAAGCAATAGTGGAAGCATCCATTCTCGAAAGCGGAAAAGCTTCCACCCATTTAGTGAAATAGTCAACTACAACCAAAATATGGCGGTTCCCTTCCGCTGTCTCCGGCAAATTGGGGATCAAATCCATAGCTACTCGCTCAAAAGGATACCCCGTCCAGGAAGACTGCATTGGAGCGCCAGACCCTCTGCCAACAGGACGCTTCAACTGGCTACAGGAAGAACAACTTGCAACCCAATCCAAGACACCTTTCTTCATGCCTACCCAGTGAAATTGTTGCGTCAGTTTCTTCTGCAGGCGTGTAGAACCCGTATGTCCCCCCTGGTCATGATACTCTTGCAAAACCAATGAACGTAAATGCCGGGGAACAACAACTTGCAAGATAGACGGCTTACCGGGCAAGGGTCCTCCCAACGACGGCACAACACCCCCTCATGATGAACCAGCATTTCATGATTTTTCCACAAAATACGTACCTCAGGACTGCTACCCATCATGCCCTCTGGGCAAGGCGGAGAGTCCATACCTAGCCAGGACACTACTTGGGCGAGATCTCGGTCCTTCTCCTGTTCCGTTTCCCATCTTGACCACGGCCAGTTGAAACGGCGGATGAGGGGTGCGGGGATGTTGCCAACGTCGTTGTTCACGGCCCCTACGAACAGTGTCGTCGAAGCGTCAGGGCGGCGTGACAGTGCATCACCTTTAGTGTGCGATCGACCTGCCCTGTACAATATGGTGAACTCAAATTCAGACAAAAATTCCAGCCAGCGAGCCACAATCGCCGGTGGATTTTGAAATTAGCCAAGTGTTCTAGAGAACGATGATCCGTACGACTCACAAATTGTCCACCAAGCAGGTAGCAACGAAAATGTCGCACAGCCCACGCTAAACCTAACAATTCCTTTTTCGTGGATGCGTACCGTGTTTCTGTATCGGCCAGAAGTCGACTAGCCTACGCTCTCGGCCGTTCCAGACCTTCCTGAACCTGAGACAGCACTGCTCCTAACCCTAGTCCACTAGCATCTACGTCTACCAGAAATGGTGATGCATCTTGCCCAAACCTGGGGTAAGCTAGTACTGGGGCGGTTGTCAGCACTGTCTTCAGATTCAGGAAAGCGGTTTCACAGTCAGGGGTCCACAAAAACACTTGGCCAGTTTTCATCAGGCTGTACAAGGGGCGGGCAATGGTGGCAAAATTTTGGGCCAACCGCCTATAATACCCACAGAATCCCAAGAAACCACACACGTCTCCAACTGCTTCAGGGGTAGGCCAGTTTCCGACTTTCTCGATCTTACCCGGGTCGGTCCTAACCCCCTCCTGGGTAACAATGTGGCCCAGGAACTCAACACTTGTGCGGAACAAGAAACACTTACTGGGCTTCAACCGCAGATCTGCCTTCAAGAGGCGGTCAAAGACTTTCACTTTAGATTTCAGTTTCAACACTCCATAATCCGAACCCACAGTACTGATTGAGGCGGAGGAGGTAGAGAAGAACATTTGCCCTTGTCCCGAAGAAATTGTGCAAGGAATGTGGGATAATACGTCCCGGCCAACAATACAATCACGCGGCAACCCCTTAACAATTCTTACCCGGTGCCAACAGGTTGCATCTCCGAGTTCCAACTGAACAATTGCTGACGCCACGGCTTCTAGTGGTTGCCCGTTGGCGCCAATTAACTTCGGGCCTTGGTCAGAGGTTTCCTTTTCCAGCTCCTTAGGTAGGCGGTCGGCAAAATCCTCTGACAGCAATGTAGCGGCGGATCCTGTATCAATCACAGCGTCCACTGGACATCCATTCACCGCTCCAGGCACCAACATGTCCGCACACTCACTCGCATGTTCAAAGAAGACAGAACACATAGATCAGGCTATTGTTTTCTGTAGTAGTCTAAGTT